AAAAAAAAAAAGAGAAAAGAAAAGAAATAGAAGCTCAGTATATAGACTGGCCATCTAAATACTGGGAAATTATCTAAATATCTCACTTGGGTTAAGAAATTGACTTAAAATTCATCCAGTCCAGTGTAACAACACCACCTCTTAAAGTATTAAAAAGTCCCCTTTGGTGCTTTGTGAAAACAGATATTCGTTGTTTAACTACCAAGTTTTCTTCCTGCAACTATGTTGTCAAGTGAATTGGTCACCAAATGGAGAATTGCATACTGTTTGTACGTTACAATATTTCGAATGAAGAAATCATCAAAAACATTCCAACTTGATGACTTTGGTTCTATTTGCATAATTCTTACATACGGTACTGGAGTGTATAAGAAAACATGAAACTAGAGTACTGTACTGTTGAGTGCCCTCAACAAAAATGACAGTATGGTGTTGCAGAGGAAGCCACCACAAGGCTGCATAGCCGCTCGTGTTCCTGTGTCATAAGTCTAAATAGCCCTTAAGTAGGACATTAAAGAACTATCTATTGTGTAAGCGCTACCCTCTTGCCTTAATGCACCATTTCAGCAATATTGGGTGTCACACTTTGACAGACTTCCTGTGTAGAAATAACAACGAGAAGATGCCTATTTGAAGTGCAGCTTTTCTCTGAATGTAGGTGATATTGGTCTCAGGAAAAATCAGTGTTTGACTGATAGATGGTAACCAGAATTTGCTTAATTATTACAAAAGGCTAGCATGGATCAATTAGTGGATAATTGTTTTTAAAACTTCAGTGTTTATGTTCTTAGGGAAATGGATGAAGAGTTTTAATGAATCAAAGGGTTTCTGGTACAGCAAGACCAACTCTAGCCAGTTAAGTAGAAAGCAGTCTAGTCAAGGGTATCATATAGTTCAGAGACTCTGCAGCAGGACCAGGGGATCTTGCTTTGATGCTTCCAGGCTAGGACTCATGCAGCCAAAGGCAACAGGCCCAAGAAAATATTCAACGACACCACATATGACTGATCTTGGTAGAAACTCTTCTGCTGAAACTACCCACAGAACATCAGTACAATGCAAAGAACCAAGCACTGCAGTTCCCACAAGAGCCATCCCTCCTAGCCAGATATTTCTATTTCCGTCCTCAGCAAACTAGCTAATGTCTCGCATTGTGTTGTGAATTCTTTATTTTTATTATCTCCACATCTCATTGATGTGCGCCTCCTTGATAGAAACCAAA